CTTCAACTCGCCTAGGGCACCAAAATGGCTAGAGCCAGCACTGATTACAGTTACAGGACCCAAGTGCCGACTACTCTGGAACAAAAGTTTTCTAAAATCAAACATAAGGGCCATCTACACAACCCCTGAGGCTTAGCTTAAACTGGGTCGTTTGACAAGATAATGATCCCAAACATAGCAGCAAATCCAAAACAGACTAGCTAAAATAGAAAAAAATGAACGTGATCCTTAGAACTTAGACCCGGTCTAAGTTCAGGAGGAGTTTGGGTATACTGGGCTTGTGTTTAACCTTAGTGCCATGACAGGTTCCACATCTCTATCATTAAAGAGCAAATCTTTGAAACCCAGTCATTTCAGATTTAGATCAAATCGAGTCATATTTGGTAAAATTGTCAGATGAGTAAAGTTGGACCCAGTAATTTATCTGGTAATTTGTCTCAGCTTTTTTGCACAATAAGGTGTTACACTTAAAAAGATTATTGTTAAAGTGAAAAGTGACCTGAGGTACGAGATAAAAATTCTTATCAACACCCTCGTGGGAAGGTTGACATCAAGGTACAACTGAAAATGTTTCATCTAAGATATTTACTCAGCCTTGTTTCTAGTAATGTAAACTAGCAGGCTACACATGTGGATAAAATTGTTAGTAACCCCTCTGTTAATGACCAAAAAGCCAACAATGGTCACCGAAATAACTTGAAACTGACAACAAAAAACAATTTACTAAGAATTACCCAATGAAACTCAAATACTGCTTTTGAAATGTGGTTTAACTGAATTATTTTAAAAATCCAACTAATAAAACAGACTTGGACAAAAATGATGGTACTTCTAAATGAAAGATTGAAAATAATTTGAGCATAGGGGCAAGTTAAGGTGTGTCCAATTAGCATCACAGGTGTCTTCAAGCTACAAGTAGGCACTGTGCTGTTTGGTGACATGGTGTGTACCACACTGATATAGACCACAGGAAGTGAAGGAGAGCGTTGTCCCAGATTAGAGACAAAATTATAGACAAGAATGTTAAAGGTAAAGGTTATAAGACCATCTCCAATCAGTTTGATGTTCCTGTGAAAACAGCTGCACAGATTATTTAGAAGTTTCAGGTCCACTGGAGCCAACCTGAAACTGATGACAAATGGAAGAGAAACATAAAATGAATGGCAACCAAATAACCAGGAACAACCTCCAAAGAAATTAAAGGTGAACTCCAAGGTCAGGGTTCATCAGTGATGGATCACACTACAGGTCAAGTGGGGTTAGTGAAAGACACCTGAGGACACCAAGTCATTTGTTACAACACTGACAATCCACAAAACGTCTGGGAGACAAATCTGCAGTTTTCTGGCAACAAGTACATCAGCTCTGTGTTCGCAGGTTCAAAAATGAAACAAAGAAAAGAACACTGTTCTTACAGTGAAACATGGAGCAGGTTCTGTTCTGTTCTGTTCTGTTCTGTTCTGGGGCTGCTTTGCTACATTTGACACAGGGTGTCTTGAATCTGTTCAGACATCAATGGAATCTGAAAACTTTCAAGGCCTTCTGGAGAGAAATGTGCTGCTCAGTGTCAGAAAGCTTGGTCTCAGTCACAGATCATAGGTCTTCCAACAGAATAATGATCAAAAACATAATTAAAAACACTCAAGAATGGATCAGAACCAAATACTGGACGGTTCTGAAGGGTCTTCCTGAGCCCTGATCTGAATCCTGTTGAACATCTGTGGAAGGAGCTGAAACATGAAGTCTGGACAAGGTACCCTTCAAACCTGAAGCAGTTAGTCCATGAGGAGTGGACAAACATACCTGTGGACAGGTGCAGACATAAATACAGAAATCATTTGATTGCAGTGATTGCCTCAAAAGGTTGAACAACAAAACATGAAGTTATGGGTATCCTTTGTTAGACCAGTTTCATTAGTTTGATTTTTAAAATAATTCAGTTGAACCACAATTCAAAAGCAATGTGATTTTCACTGGTTAATTTTTAGTAAATTATGATTATTTTGTCAGTTTCAAGTTGTTACATTGCAGTGACCATTGTGGGTGTTTTAGTCATTAACAGATGGGTACAAACAATTTGTATGAATGGAAAAAAACAGTTCTGGTTTATAACTTGATAAAGTTAATACAGAACCATGATCAGAGGGTTAAAAACACCTTAATTCACTGGACCAGGACTCAGTTTTATGGTCTGGGGACCCAATACAAGAGATGTGCCACACTTTGTTCTGACCCTGTTCAGGACCACACAGACCACCTGCATTATTAATTCAGAGTCACCATTTGCCTTTGCTAGGACCCCTTTTAGTAAGCACAAACTAAAAAGGAAACTCCTCCCAAAAGTAGCCCATTTGAATTTGCTCGGACTCAGTTTTTGCATTTAAACTCAAATGTCTAAAACCAACAGTTCAGACGCCCTCTGACATGTTCCACCCTTTAACAAACGTCATTATTGTAAGACAAAGTCTGTCAATCACATATCCAGACAGCAGTTTTAATCTCACGGTTTATGCAAAGAGATTATAGCTTGCAGTGTCTGCTGAAACACTTCAGCACTTTGCAAAACAAATGTACAGTGGTTTGCAAAAGTATTCATACCCCTTGAACTTTTCCATATTTTGTCACATTACAACCACAAACATAAATATATTTCACTGGAATTTAATGTGAAAGACCAACACAAAGTGGTATACAATTGTGAAGTGGAAGCAAAATTTTACATGAATCAAAACATTTTTTACAAATAAAAAACTGAAAAGTGCGACGTGCAAAATTATTCAGCCCCCTTTTCCCTGAGTGCAACCAATTGACTCAAAAGGGTCCACCTGTGTGTAATCTAATCTCAGTACAAATACAGCTGCTCCGTGACGGCCTCAGATGTTGATTAAGAGAATATTGGGGAGCAAACAGCATCATGAAGTCCAAAGAACACACCAGACAGGTTAGGAATATGGTTTTGGAGAAGTTTAAAGCAGGCTTAGGTTATAAAAAGATTTCCCAAGCTTTGAACATCTCACGGAGCACTGTTCAATCCATCATCCGGAAATGGAAAGAGTATGGCACCACAGTAAACCTGCCAAGACAAGGCCGTCCACCTAAACTTACAGGCCGAACAAGGAGATCACTGATCAGAGAGGCAGCCAAGAGGCCCATGGTGACTCTGGATGAAATGCAGAGAGCCACAGCTCAGGTGGGGGAAACTGTCCACAGGACAACAATTAGTCGTGCACTACACAAATGTGGTCTTTATGGAAGAGTGGCAAGGAGAAAGCCATTGTTAAAAGAAAACCATAAGAAGTCCCGTTTGCAGTTTGCCAGAAGCCATGTTGAGGACACAGCAAACATGTGGAAGAAGGTGCTTTGGTCAGACGAGACCAAAATTGAACTTTTTGGCCACAATGCAAAACGCTATGTGTGGCGGAGAAAGAACACTGCACATCACTCTGAAAACACCATCCCCACTGTCAAATATGGTGGTGGCAGCATCATGCTCTGGGGGTGCTTCTCTTCAGCAGGGACCGGGAAGTTGGTCAAAGTTGATGGGAAGATGGATGGAGCCAAATACAGGGCAATCTTGGAAGAAAACCTGTTGGAGTCAGCAAAAGATTTGAGACTGGGGCGGAGGTTCACCTTCCAGCAGGACAACGACCCTAAACATAAAGCCAAAGCTACAATGGAGTGGTTTAAAAAAAGAATATTCATGTGTTAGAATGGCCCAGTCAAAGTCCAGACCTAAACCCAATTGAGAATTTGTGGCAAGATCTCAAAACTGCTGTTCACAAACGCTCTCCATCCAATCTGACTGAGCTTGAGCTGTTTTGCAAGGAGGAATGGGCAAGAATTGCAGTCACTAGATGTGCAAAGCTGGTGGAGACATACCCTAAAAGACTTGCAGCTGTAATTGCAGCAAAAGGTGGCTCCACAAAGTATTGACTCAGGGGGGCTGAATAATTTTGCACATCGCACTTTTCAGTTTTTTATTTGTAAAAAATGTTTTGATTCATGTAAAATTTTGCTTCCACTTCACAATTGTATACCACTTTGTGTTGGTCTTTCACATTAAATTCCAGTGAAATATATTTATGTTTGTGGTTGTAATGTGACAAAATATGGAAAAGTTCAAGGGGTATGAATACTTTTGCAAACCACTGTATTCAAATCTGACTGACTTGAATTACATTTTCACAGCTCGTCAGAAAAAGCTGAAAAAGGTAGCAAATATAATTTAAGGCACTTAACTGATTTTAAAAGCAGCTAATAAAAATTACTTGGTTAGCAGCTATTTCTCATTTTACCTCATTAAAAAAAGGTACGGTATTAGATTTTATATTTAAAAATAATAATAATAATAAATCTCCTAAATAAATCAAAAATTTGTGGACTCTTTCAGGGGTTTCAGCCTAAAAACGATCAATTTTAACAGTTTTTTTAACCCTTAAAAGTTCCAAACTGCAAATAATGTTTTTAAAAAGGCTTCAACAGAAACAGATCTTTTCTTCATTTATACCATTTAATTTGTGAACTTTTAAACTTTCTTTGGAAAATTAAAGTGCTTTAAAGAGGTTTAAATAAACAGTAATTATAAATTTTTTTGTTTACATTGTAAAACTCTTTATAAAAGTATTGACTACTTTAACATTTTGTTGTCTAAAAAGTGTTTGATTCAGTGTAATGTCGGAGCCATATGTGGCACTGTTTTCAAAACAAATTAAACACAACGAAATAAAAATAAGGAATCTGATTTGCCATATAAAACTCTTTTAACTTGATGTTTTGTTTGAAACAAGAAGAGGTGATTTGTGGTGAGACATTCAGGTTCATCGAGTTAGAAGTGCTTCTGACATTTCTCTTCGCAGCAGCACGTCAGGTCCCTCCTCTCTGCTGATTGGTCGAGGTCTTCCTTCAAAGTGATTGGAGGTGTACGGCTCTCTACCGACTAAAAAACATACACAAAATAAAAATTCAACTTGTTCCTCTCTCTGTTGGTCACACTGGTCTACAGCTTTCGTTCTCCTCTGATGATGCTCTGGTAGATCTCCTCCGTTAGGGGAATGTAGCTCTTCTGTTCGTAGTCCAACACGTAGAGCAGGTCAGAGATAGTTGAGGGGTTGAAGCCGCTCTGCACCAGCTGGAACTTCTGATGCTTGAAGGTACTCGTCATTTCTATGACCTCCTGAGGTGATCAACGAGAAAAAGTTTTCATCAGGTTAAAAAAACAAACAAAAAAACTAGAACCCTGTTCTATACACACAAAAGATATTTTAATGCTTAAAATGTGTCACAAGGAGTGTAAAAGAACACAGAAGCCAGAGTTTGGTTTGTGTCTATGTTTTGGGGTTTCGTTAGATTTGTAATCGGACAGAAAAAGAAACAAATGATAGTTATCTTAACTAAACAATAATCTTTCCAGAAGCAGAAACAGAAAATAACAACCCTTACATGTGTGGAGCTTCTAAAGGAGCAGGTTCTGCACAGCAAGGTAAGATTTCCTTGCAGGTAACTTCACATAAAATTAATAAAATAAATAGTAAATTGTATTATTCAATACAAAAGTATCTCACTTTTGTTAGGAAAATCACAACAAAAGTACAGGTTAAAAAAATATTTGACCAAATCTAAATAAGAAGCTTAGCTACATGATGAGTCCCCAAGTGAAAATACAAAGTAAATCAAATGCTGGCTACTTAGCTAGATGTGAGTGGCAATGTGCTGCTGAGGCTAATTTATTATGTTTATTAGAAACTAGAGGGCATTTCAGAATGCTCTAATTATGAACCTTTTAGCTTTATGTACAGTACATCCACCATCACTCTCCACTGCTACCATTTATCACCACCAGATGGCAGCAGTGCAGCTAAAACGCCAACTGATACACGCAGAAAGTAAAAGTAAAGGCCTCTGAATATTTTAAAAAAATAAATAAATAAAAATGTGAAAGTAGTTTCATGGAAAAATTACATACTTCAAACAGAAGCGCAGGAAAATAAAACCCTGCATAAACAGAAGTGAAGCGTAAAGAAGACGTCAACATTTCTCTACAGCACAATGAGACGCACAAGATAATAAATATAGATGTAGTCATTTCTTTTACACATTATTTCTGCAAAGGTAAAAACATGCTGATAGTACATCCAATGTGGACATTTGCACAATTCCTTGCCCAGGTACCCTTTATAAGTTTAACTTAATAGAGTTTAATAAAGTAACAATGAAAACAGATGGGCTGTCTGTTCACAAACTAGACTGAGTGCTATCTTTGGATCAACCATACACAGAACACCAGCACCAAACCAACAGTAGATGGAGTCATTTACACACCAACCAAGCACACGGGGCATAACGTAATCTGCTTGGTCTCCTTCACATTTCAATTTTATGGCCTGCTCTGAACAGTTGAGTCCTTGACAAATTCAAAGCATCATAAAGACCTGTGAAAACTTTAAGACTGTTTGAAAACAACTTTCCCTCACTTAAATAAATGTTTTTCTCTGCACATTTCTCTACATTCAGCACATGCTTCATTTTACTGCCAGTGGTGGGAACAGCTAACCAAAGGTTCACTAACTACCAGTGGTGGAGAAAGTACTCAAACACTGTACTTAAGTAAAACTACAGATAAACAGACAAGAATGTACTCTAGTAAAAGTACCACATTAACATTTTACTTGAGTAAAAGTAAGTAAGTAATTGCTTTTAAAAATACTTAAAGTATTAAAAGTACTTGCTTAATGTATTCCCTAATGGTCTACAATATCATGAAGTGTGCCTACTGTATGTATATTTTAATACATCAATGGTGCCATTTTAGTGAACAATGCTGCAGATAATGCACAGTTTTGTGTTTCCACTCTGACACTGTTCACACTTGGACTTGTGATTCTGTGCATCATCACATATTGTGACAACAGCTGCAGAAGATGTAAATTCACCACCAACCTCCTCTATCAAATCTCAAGTCATTTTTTGAACCAGTTAAATAAGGCCATGAATGGCACATTTCCTCCGCGGTGGAAACCATTGTGGGCATGCTGCTGCTGTTCTTTTTTTATGAAGGAGGGTGTAATGGTACTTTCCTGCTTTGTTCAATGGACCAGTTACAGCAATTCCCCCTCTCACCACTGATTACGTTCTAACAAAAAAATCAAATAAACCACAAATAAAATAAAATAAAATAAAATTAAAAATAAACCGACGTGACATAAAAGTAGTTTGTAGTTCAACGCATTACAGAAATGTAGTGGAGTAGAAAGTACAGATACTTAACGTAAAATGTAGTGGAGTACAAGTCAAAAGTACCTATGATGAAATCTACTTAAGTAAAGTACAGATTCATGAAAAATGTACTTAAGTACAGCAAGAAAGTACTTGTACTTATTTACATCCCACCACTGATAACTACTAATCCACTAAACAAGAATCTTAGCTACACTAACGCTAAACTCCTACACAGATTACAGTATTAGTGGAAGCTAACGCTAACCGCCACATTTTCATCGCCTTCCAGTTGAAAACTGGTGGGACTGATGCAAACCTGTCGTTTATGTCAGGAATTTGCTGTCGACCAGTGTTAGGCATCTTTTCAGACTTTTCACGACCAGGTTTTTGAACAACTGTCCCCGTTTACAAGAACATTCCCCACACAAGATACTGAGCAGTTCTGGAATCATTTGCTCTTTCAGTCTTTTCTATTAAATTAATAAAACTCAGTCAGTTGTATAACTAGAAGTTATAATCAGACAAATTCAATGCGTTTTATTCCTTTTTTAAAATGTTATTTTTCAACCTACTCCTTTGAATGTTTATTATTATTTATTGTACTATTGTCATTTTATTTTTAATTTATAATGTTCAATAAACTTAGGAAAAAATACTGAATTATAAATACTATTTGTCCAAAATGCTTTGAAAAAATTTCAAAGCATTTTGATACCTCAGAATAAACAACAAATGCAGCACACTCATGGTGTTCAAATACTGCCTTTCAATACTTAGTTGACTTAATTGGCTTTGTTAGCTTGATAAAAAGTCTCAGGATGTGGGATTGTTACCTGAAGTCTTACGAAGAGGGGGCGAGCATACACTGGTAGATCCCTCACTGCATGTTCGAACAGCTTCTTCCCATCAAACGAGACGCCAGGTCTTACAATCAATGCTGCCATTCCTGCTCTGCCCTCATGCCCTGAGAACCAGACAGGTCAATATAACCTCGGTTTTAACTCGACTGTTTTAAGTTAGTTCATCATAAATGCTGTTAGAAAATTCATGTCACAGTTTGGGTTATGTTAGCTGGATGTGGCAATACAATAATTAAAACCAGTTGTATGGTGCAATCAGAAAGAAGTTTAAGATTTATACAGGATGAAATTGTTGCTAACTGATGTAGAAAGTATTTGGAAAGCAATGACAGGCTCAATACCTGGTATTTCCACTCCATACACACTGATCTCTTGAATAAAATCCACCAGCCCAAGAATCTCTGTTACCTCTGTGGTTGCTACATTTTCACCTTTCCACCTGGTATGGGTAAAAAAAAAATCAAAGTTATCAACAGCAAAGCTTCAGAAACAATCAGATGCCGTCCTAGCTCTTTATTCTCACTATGGTCTGTGGCCTCAGGATTCCATGTCTGTTATTTGCAGATGATGTGGTTCTGTTGGTGTCATTGTGCTGTGATCTTCAGCACTCACTTATTTTAAACCCCACTCGATGGAGTGTGTGAGTGACAGACGGAGCGGTGCAGCTTCTGCAGTAGGGCTGCACAACATATCGCAAATTTATCGTTATCGCGATAACAGCCAGTGCAATATGCATATCGCAAAAGACGCATAAATTGCAATAAATGACTGGCTCCAATGTTTGCATTTATGTGGTTTACCACCATCAGTCTGATAAACAAAATGGACCAGAGAAAAAAATATCAAATCATCATTCCATCATGTTGTAATGGAAATTGTGTATTAGTTGTTTTTGCTCTGAACCCAGAGCAGAAAAATACTGTATTTTTATTTTATTTTTTTTAATTTATCACAAGTCATATCGTCATCGTCATTAAGCACTGTTATCACACGTCGCAGGTTTTCTTGATGTCGTGCAGCCCTATTCTGCAGTATTGCATACTTTGTACCGGTCTGTCTGCAAGGTGAAGCTCTCAGTTTACCGATCAGTCTGCTTTCCTACCCTGACCTATGGTCTAGAACAGAGGTGGGCAGTCCTGGTCCTCGAGGTCCGCAGCCCTGCATGTTTTACTTGTTTCTCTGCTCCAACACACCTGATTTAATGAATGGGTGATTATCAGTCTGCTGCAGAACTTGCATGAGGTAATTCAATGACTGAACCAGGTGTGTTGAAGTGGGGAAAAAAAGTAAAACATGCAGGTTTGTGGCCCTCGAGGACCAGTATTGCCAACCCCTGGTCTAGAAACAAAGGGCTTGACATTTCTATGTTACTTGGATGTCAAGCTGGAGCACAAGCAATGCTTATGACCTTGATCTTTGACTCCATATCTTGACAGCAATAGGGATCATCGTTGACCCATGAGGTTTTCAGGTGTCCAGTTTGATATCTCTATGTTAAAGGGTTTTCAATTTAGAACACAGACAAGAAAATGTAGACAGATAGATACAGAATAGAGGAAAAAAAGACATGTTACAATTTATGCTTTCTCCTGCTCTTTTTCAGAGAGATGAATTTTATGCCGGAAGACATCTGTTATCTTAAAGCATACCTGAAAGTGTCTCCTACTCTGTCTCTGAAGCAGATGAAGCCCTTGTGATCTTCAGCCATGAGGTCCCCTGTGTTAACGTAGGCATCCCCCTTCACAAAAACATCCCTCATCAGCTTCTTCTCAGTCAACTGCTTGCTTCCAGCATAGCCAAAGAAGGGGCTGGTTGCGCACACCTTGGACAGAAGAAGACCAGTCTCTCCTAAAAAAACAATCGGGGCATAGAAATACAAGTAAAACACAATTAGGTACAAAACATGAAGCAATAAAATCTAAGGAGGTCATTTAAGTTTTACCCTTCTCCACTCGTCGACAGAAACCACTTTCATCTTTCACTGGTTCATCCTGTACCATGTCGTATTTCACTAGATCATACTTGAACAGGAGCTAAACAAAACATAAAACAAAGAATTGGTAGAATAAGTGTGGATTAAAAAAGTATTAATCAAATTAAAACATGTCTTTTTTCGAGAAAATGAACTTCAAATTGTAAAATTAATGTGATTACTGATTCAGGTAATGAACATCTGCCTCGCTGAAGCTGCTACTGGAGAGAAGGACTGGTGCGACTTATTGACTGGTGAAACAAAGTTACATTCACACACTGTGGTAAGCTACACTGTAGCCACAGCTGCCTTGGGATACACTGACAGAGGAGGGGCATTAAGCAGGCAGTGTGGTCTGGCAGGCACGCCTTGCCCAAGGACACAACAACTGAGATGGCTGGAATGGGGGACTGAACCTGAAACCCTGCAGTTATAGGACAATACCCCTAACCCCTCAAAAATATGAGTGAATCAGCACTGAAATGTGGTTTGGCATGATACTGAATCTATGTTGAAATTATACAAAAAGTGGGTAAAAGGGAAAAATAGGTAAAAAATAGAGTAAGAGTTTAAAAGTAGAGTAAAATCAAACATTAAAATAAAAAGTACACCAGCCTAAATTCAGAAGGTTAAACTGATCTATAGAGAAGTGTTTTCAGACCAGTTACTGGGAGATAGGGTTGGGCAATATTGGCAAAAAAATTAATCACGATTAATTGAGGTATTTAGCCGATAGCGATTAATTTGACGATTAATCCCCTGGAGTCCCTGGACACCCTCATGTCCTGGTCACATGACTAATTTAGTGGGAAACATTTGCTCTTCATAAAAATCTGTTCCAAATTGTGTCAAAATTACAGACTTCAGGCTATACATCAAATTTTAAATTGTGTTGAGAATTAAATAAATTACAGAACTTTTTTTAAAGGGATCCCCGATTGGTTGTAACCTTAGACTTTGTTTGATAAACATATATTTTAAACTGTAAAATAAAGACTGTAAAAATACTGTAGGTTGTTTAGTTTTATAAATTTTAAAAAATATATTTCAACACGGACAGAGCCTTTTTATTTACAGACAAAGCATTCTGGGTAAATGATGAAGTGGATAGGTCCTCGGTGCGAGGCTGCTAGTGAGCTGTATCCACCCTGAAGGTTAATCTTGGACAATATCTGATGATCGACTCTTTTAAATGAAACCAGAGAGTGTTGACAGAGAGGAGAAGGTAGAAATGACAGTCTGTAACTGAATATGTAGATGGAGGACCTCAGTGACGAGATGAGAATGTGTAGCACTGAGCTAACATATGGTGATAGCATCGGGGCTAACGCTAAAGCTAACAAGCTAAGCTGAGGCTCTTCTTCCATGAAGCAGCTCTGTTGTCCTCCATCTATATTTTCAGTTATAGGTTGAGTCATTTCTACCTTCTCCTCTCTGTCAACGCTCTCTGGTTTCATTTAAAAGAGTCGATCATCAGATATTGTCCAAGATTAACCTTCAGGGTGGATATAGCTCGCTCACACCGAGGACCTATCCACGTCATCATTTACCCAGAATGCTTTGCGTGTAAATGAAATGGCCCCGTCCGTATAATATATTTTAAAACTTTTAGTTTATAAATTATAAAAACTAAACATCCTACATTATTTTTAGAGTCTTTATTTTACAGTTAAAATATATGTTTATTAAATAAAGTCTAATGTTACAACTAATCATGGATCCCTTTAATGTTCATCATATTTGAAGCAGAGGAGCAGCGAGCAGACTCTGCCTGGTGGCATTAATCGTATTAATCGTCAAGTGCCAAATAATAATCGATTAATATTTTTCTGACGATTAATTGCACATGATACGATTATGCCCAACCCTACTGGGAGATAATGTGATAAACACCAGACTAAAAAGGTTTAGACATGTGCAGGAGGGACAGTGGGCATATTTATGGAAGGATGTTAGAGATGCAGCTGCCAGGAAAAAGACAAAGAGGAGGCAAAATAGGAGTGAGGACAGATGCAGAAGGCAAAGCACGGCGAAGAATGACTCGCTTTGGCAACCCCTGAAAAGAGAATAAATGAAAGAAGCCTAGACAGTACTACATATAATGCAGTAGTTTTTAACCTGTAGACTATTTCAATATTCTCCATCACTTATCTCTACCTTCAGATTAAGTCCCAAAGGAAAAGTGTGTGCAGCACCTGAGATTACAAAAGAAACTGCAAGAAGCTCTAGGTATTTTTAGTCAGAATTAGTGTAAATCCCCTGTGTAAAGGGTGATGATGGGGGGGGGGGGGGGGGGGGGGGGTTTTTAAAAAAGTGTATAAGATCAGGTCTTTAAATTTATAGTACATGCTATAGAAATGACCACCCTGTTAATCATAACTGAAAGTGTCTCTGGGGATCACATTGTTTGATCTTCCTTTTTACTGCATGTTTTGAGCCAAAAGGAGATGCAGCCTGAAAATAGCAGAGATTACAACTTAATACACAGAGTCGCTGTTTTGTAACTCCAGTGACTGACAGCAGCTCTGCAGGTCGGCATTAGGGCAGCTAATCCCTACAGCAGCTTCAGGAAAGCTTCAGTCTTTTTAACTGCCTTAACAGATTTACACACAAACTTCATCAACACAGGCAATTGCACAGGGTACTAATTAAACATGTCCAAAACCCTCGTCTACCCCTTTAACACACGAGTCTTGTAAGGACTTCCAGCTCATCTTGCAGATACTCACCCTGTAAACAAGGTTGGAGCGACCCACAGTTCCAATCTTCCCTATGTGGTTCATGAAACACAAGTTTCCCTCGGTGGAGCCATACACCTCGCACATTCTGATGTTCCCAAAACGACTTAGGAACTCCCGCCAGACATCCTGTCGCAGCCCATTCCCAACTCCCATTTTAACCTTGTGAACTTTGTCCAACTCTGTCTGAGAGAGGGAGATAGCTGGGATTACTTGAATAGGAAACAAAAATGGCAATTAATTTCTGACATAAGTAAACAGAGATGCTTCACTGCTGAGGCCCGTCTGTTGATTAGAGGAAAATCTGTATTATTTACACACGTCTGATCACACGAACATAAAGCTTCCATAAGGCATATTATAATCAGACACTGGAGGTACAGGGTGGCACTTTGTACAGCACAGTACAAAACGTCCATTGTTATGCTGATGATACTCAGTTATATTTACCCATGAAACCTGATGAATGCAACGACTTACTTTGATTATCAGTATGTCTTACAGACATACTGTAAAAACAGAATTACTTTTTACTTTTTACTGGACCTGTCTTCTGCTTTTGATACTGTTGATTATAAGATCTTAATCAACAGACTTAGAAATCAAATTGGGTTGTCCGGTTCTGTTCTTGAGTGGTTCTCATCTTACCTATCTAACTGAAGTTTTAATGTTTCTGTAAACGGCATCATGTCCGATACCACCAGCCTGACTTGTGGTGTACCCCAGGGTTCTGTTTTGGGACCCATTCTYTTTATTCTTTATATTCTCCCCCTTGGACAGGTAATCCAGAAATTCAGAAAWGTGCAATTTCAGCTCTATGCTGATGATATCCAACTTTACTGCTCYTTTAAAGAAAGTGAGTTTCATAAATTAGAGTCCTTAACAAATTGTTTAGCTAGCATCAAACAGTGGTTAAGCAACAATTATCTACAACTTAACTCTGATAAAACAGAAACTGTGATTATTGTGCTGGAAAATAAGGTTGCTCAGATTGAACAGTTTATTGGTGTCTTGGGTCCATCTGTTCAGTCCAGTCTCAGAAACTTGGGTGTCATTTTTGATTCTGCAATGTCTCTGAAACAACATGCAAAGCAACTGACCAGAAACTGTTACTTTCATCTTAGGAACATCTCAAAATTGAAACATTTCCTGTCAAAAGCTGAACTTGAAATGGTCATTCATGCATATATTTCTTCTCGTTTGGACTACTGTAATGGTCTATTCACTTGTATAAACAAGAAGGAGTTAGACCGTCTTCAGGTTGTCCAGAACTCGGCTGCTCGACTGTTAACTAGCATAAACAAACGTGATCACATCACATCTGTTTTGGCTTCTCTTCACTGGCTCCCAGTTCATTTTAGAATTCATTTTAAAATTCTGGTTTTAACTTTTAGAGCCTTACATGGTCAAGCCCCATCATATATCTCAGATTTGATCCAGCTTCACACACCGTCTCGCAGTTTGAGGTCATTAGGTCAGATGTTGTTGGTGGCACACCGCACACATTTCAAATCCAGAGGGGATCGAGCTTTCCAAGCAGTTGCACCTCGGCTCTGGAATGTACTGCCCCAACTTAGACGCTTATGCTTACTACAACTTATTCTATTGATGCTTTTAAAAAAACATCTGAAAACTTTCTTTTACAAACAGGCTTTTAGCTAAGTGTTATTTTGTTTTGTTATTTTGTTATTTTTTTGTTTTGTTTTTTTTACTACTTGTATTCTTGTATGAATTGTAATGCTGTGGTGATGTTTTAATTTACTATTTTACTTTCTTGTTTTTATTCTATTTTATGGGAAGCGCTTTGTGATTTTATGTCTATGAAAGGTGCTATATAAATAAACTTTACTTACGTACTTACTTTTGATTTAAATTCTAAATACTGATAAAATAGATGTGATGTTTGGACCCACGCATATTAACAAATGTTGCAATCTTTGAGTTACTCTGAATAACTGTATCGTTGCTTCCAGTCCTAATGTAACAAATGTTACATTTGATAAGGGCGTGTCCTTCATCTCCTCCAACATAATATGCTCTACATTAATAATTCCTGAGTGATGCAGGAAAACTACTTCATTCATTGTTGTTTAATGGGCTAGATTATTATAAATCCCTGTTGTTATAATGTTCAAACAATAATAATTTAATAAACACTCAACAACCAAGCAGCATCTTAAATTAAAGTTCAACTCTTTTTTTTTTTTTTACCAACTACCATTTTATAATCAACTGAAACTGATTGCACTGCATTATAATTGTAATGAACTAGATTGCATGTCATTGGATTAGAATAGGACGTTTGGTTTTCTGTACAGTGTCCTGGATTCATTTTTATTGTGAAGTGTTAAAATAATGACTTGCAGGAACTAAATTAGATTACATAATGAAAGCGTAGCGGCTGTAGTACTCGTGTTTGGGTGCACACATTAGCTGTGTGAACAGGATAGGTATGTGTTCTACGTGCTCCCATATTTGATTTTCCAGTCATTGGTGAGGGCATTAGTGGCCAGTCCACCACCCACACAGACAAGTAACAAAGAAAGTCCAAACAAAGGAGACTTTGAGTCCAGTTTCAGGAGTGAAACAGCCTGGCTCTCGCACTGTGTGCGTGTACTTCAGCGTGTCCAACAAGTTAGGATACAGACACAAACACAAAGCCTGAGCTTGTTGTGAACCAAGAAACTTGAATGATTAATAAGCAGCGGGGACTATGAAAGAGCCTGTATATAAAATAAAACTTTCTGCTTCAGCTAAATCATTTGTCATTCATTAGGAAGCTGTGCTTGTTTATTAGCTTTCTGTCAGAGTTGTGATGTAACAAAGTACAAATACTTTGTTACTATACTTAAGTAGAAATTTTGGTTATCTGTACTTTACTTGAGTAATTATTTTTCAGACTACTTTTTACTTCTACTCCTTACATTTTTACACAATTATCTGTACTTTCTACTCCTTACATTTATTCAAAATGTAAGAAGTAGAAAGTTGTTTCTCCTATTTCATTTTGGCTTTTTATTGATAAAAAAATACTATCCTGAAAAATTGTGTCTCCTGGATAGAGTGAATTTAATTGTGGTTGGATGAGAAGTATAAATATATACCATTCTGATACTGTAGCAAGTTTGTACATAATCCATCAAAGCTGCGCACCTTTAGAAAAATTTTTTTGAAGTGGTCACCTTCCAATAAATAAATTTCGGAAAATCTAACCATTCATTCTTACTTAATACTTTTACTTTTATTACTTAAGTATATTTAATGTCAGAAATTTATTTTTGATACTTAAGTCCAAAATAAATCAGATACTTTAAGATTTTTACTCAAGTAATATTCTTAGAGGAGACTAACTTTTACCAAAGTAGTTTTATGATAAGATACTTGTACTTTTATTCAAGTATCACTTTCAGGTACTTAATACAACACTGCTTTCTGTAGCCTGGTCTTTGGATGACGTGGGTACTGTGAAGTCACAATAACGTGTGTAAACAGCAAGCAGTGGGATAGAAAAAAAACAAAAACAATATTAAGAAAAATAGGAAAGTATATCAAAAATGGGAAAAAAGTTTAGTTTTATCTGTATTTTATTACAAAACTTAAAACTTTTGAATTTTGTTCTTTACCACTTTAATTCATATTTTATTTGATAATAATTTAATGCTATATGCTGCCACAAATTAAATTATTGCAACAATGTTTATGGTAATAAATTGTAAAGTCTGTTTATTACCCATTAAATGGTGTCACATCCTTTAGGAAAATGTATTTGTGGATTGAGCATCAAAATTAAGAATGTGTCTTGCATCCAATAAACTAAAGCTTATTTTGCAATCACCTCCAGTTTTGAGCTTCTAGTACCCCAGGCGTTGACAATCATTCATTCTACGGCCAGTGCTTCTTCCTCGTCTCTAAAGTTTATTTACTCTGAACTCACTGATCATGAAATGTCTCACGAGATTTCCCGTCTGACATCTAAACTATCATGAGTGAAATTTGTTTGTGTTGTGTGTTGTCTTTTGCTGTGTGGCTGTACACCACACACTGTAGGAC